ATCAAAAAAATCTGAAAAAAAGATATGTTATGGAGAAAAATAAATTAAACAAGATTTGCCTGAGCATTACATCCGAATTCCTTACCAAATTTGAAATAAAACTAAAATACGGAAAACAAATACAAATAATAAAAATAAATAAAAATAAAAAGAGAATTAAATTTAGTGAGTGCGCGAGCATGTTTTCGACACTTCCATCTTTGGCGATTTTTCATTTCTTTTTGGCATAGCTAAATGCCCTGAAAATTTACAGATGTGTACTTCACATAATACAAAACCCACTAAAAAAGTTTCAAAAAATAATAAAATTGTTTAGACCCCGAACTAAAGTGAAAACAAAGAGTAAAAAGTGAAAAAATACGTCGGGGAGCACGTTTTGACACCGCCATCTTTGGCGATTTTCAATTCTTATTTGGCTTAGCGAAATGACTTGAAACTTTACAGGCATGTACCTCACTTCATAGAGAACTCACAAAAAAAAATTCAGAAAAACATAATTATTTTTAGGCCCCCAAATAATTTTTGGTGGGGGCCGAATGCCGTCGGGTTCGGACCCCGTACGGGACCCCGAACGCCCGTACGTACGGAGGTCTGGCCGGGGACCTCCGTACGTACGGGCTGGTGACCCTGTATATATATATATCGTCACAAACAGAACTGCCCGGTAAAACCGTAGGCAGAGAGAGAGAAGAGGACAACAAAGGAGGGGTTGTGACAAACTGTTTCGTCGGAGTTTCACCGACTGTATATATATATATATATATATATATATATATATATATATATATATTGTCAAACAGAACTGCCAGGTAAACCGCAGGTAGAAGGGAGAAGAGAACAACAAACGAGGAGAAGCGATTAACAAAACCCTAATATTAGTTACGATACTTTATACTTTTATTATAAGAGTTTGTTTCATGAAAAATTATTAACCCCTTTAATCCGTCGTTATTTTGCTCATTGTTTTCTTTTATTATGTCTCTTCTAATTTCTCTATTTATACCGTTTTTACGAATTCAAATAATCAATTACCATTGTTTAAAGTTTTTGGAACTTGGTCGAATCATTAAGGTAATCTCTTATTATTGTGTTGGATCCTGAGTCTTTATGGTTTTGTCTTTTGTTTTCAAACTCACAACGAAGTTGCCTTGATTGGTGCCCCTCTTATGATTCACAAATAGAGTGCTTTATAGGATTTATTAATTTACAAGTACTTCCTCCACTTGTTAATGGAATTAAATTAGCAGATATTATGACAATTTTAGGTAGTATCGATATAATCATGGGCGAGGCAGATAGATAGTATGATATCATCGTACAATATTTTGTTTTCAGTAATGGAATTTTTATTTTATTTGAATTTCAATCTTACTTGTTATTTGATTTTATTTAAGTAATATTTAATATTACTTAATTTAATATTGATGACTAAATGGATTGCTTTATAGGATTTATTAATTGACAAGTACTTCCTCCACTTATTAATGAAATTAAATTAGCAGATATTATGACAATTTTAGGTAGTATCGATATAATCATGGGAGAGGCAGATAGATAGTATGATATCATCGTACAATATTTTGTTTAAGTAATTGAATTTTTATTTTATTTGAATTTCAATCTTATTTGTTATTTGATTTTATTTAAGTAATATTTAATATGATTTAATTTAATATTGATGAATAAACATTAAATATTGAAATCGTATTGCAATAAGGAATTCAATTAAATTGATTTATTCATGAAGAAAAAAATTGCAAAAAGGTTACAGAACCACCATAGTAAATTCAATAAAGTATGTGGGGGTGTTAACCAGGGCTGAAAAGTGGGGGTCCCTGTTAACCGCTTGTGAGGAGAAGGAGAAGGGGCCGTGACAAACTGTTTTATCAGAGTTTCACCGACTCATCAGCAGGTTGAACCCTCGACAGTCTGCAAAATCCCCTAACTGAAGATGTGTATAAGAGACAGACCCTCGACAGTCTGCAAAATCCCCTAACTGATTACATTGTAAGTGATAATCCACCTTAACCAAAATCAAAGTAGACTATCACTCACCCACACTAAATGGAAAACTCTACAGACTGTCAGTTCACACCCCATCAAAAGCCAACAAAACACCCACGAAACAAAGAAAGGCCCGTCACAGCCAACAAAGACACTCCTGGCATGTTGCTGGCACTAGAGGCACAACATGGGCGCGTAGTGACAACCCCAACCACTGCCGCTCGACCAGACTGGAGAAAATCATAGCAGGGTGCTAGCGAAGTCATGGTATATATCATCAAACAGAGCTGCCCGGTAAACCGTAGGCAGAGAGGGAGAAGAGGACTATAGACAAGGGGTCATGACAACCTGTTTCGTCGGAGCTTCGTTGACTCATCAGGAGACTGAGCCCTTAACAATCTGCATAATCTCCTAACTGATTACACCGTAAGTGATAATCCACCTTAGCTCCGGTTGTGGTTAAGCATCAACGACTTCCCGACAACTAATACCTTGAGGTGGGCACCAACCACTGCCTTCAAGGTCCCTGTGACAAAAATTAAAGCAGACTATCACTCACCCACACCAGATGGAAAACTCTACAGACTATCAGTTCACACCCCATCACAAGCCAGCAAAAGGAAAACTCTACTGATTGTCGGTTCACACTCCATCACAAGCCAGCAAAACACCCACAAAACAAGGAAAGGTCTGTCACAGACAAAAAATACACTCCAGACGCGGCGCTGGCAGTAGAGGCACAACATGGCTGTGTAGTGACGACCCCGACCACTGTCGCTCGACCTGACGGGAGAAAACCGTAGCAGGGTGCTAGCAAAGTCATGGTATATATCATCAAACATAGCTGCCCGGTGAATTGTAGGCAGAGAGGGAGAAGAGGACAACAAACGAGGGGTTGTGACAAACTGTTTCGGCGGAGTTTCACCGACTCATGAAGAGGCTGAACCCTCTATATATATCATCAAACAAAGTTGACCGGTGAACCGTAGGCAGAGAGGGAGAAGAGGACAACAAACTAGAGGCTGTCACAAACTGTTTCGTCGGGATTTCACCAATGCAGACATGACAACAAACATTCGAGAACTGGAATGCCTCATCCGAAAATCGCAGCATACCCGCCAACGTTACACCTGTTACACTCGGCGGCTGTAGCCGCCATCGTCTCTATCACAATCACTACAATGACATGGTTTCTGCATCCATGTGTGCAGAGGACTGTCCCACCGTTCCTGACTGCAGGCACCCTCCGTATCCGGACACTATATGTCCATTTTGTGGCCATGGGCGCTATACTAAATGCATGCTCTTTTGTGGCGACCGTTCTTCTTCCATTTTGGCCTGCAATCGACATGCCATTTGTCGGGGGTGTATGGTGGGCATGCTCAATGCCACCCGTCGTGGCAATTGTTGCACTGAGAATGCTCAGCTAGGTCTTCCATGTGTTCACCCACCTCATCCTTACAATGTATGTCCTCTCTGTCGTCAAGGACAGACTCTTTCTTGAGCCTTTTCTTATCCTCTTTTGCCTTCATCTTCACTCCGCACTCCATACTTTCCCTTTATCGTTCCTTGTTTGTCTACTCTCCATCTCTCTTCCCTGTGTTTATCCCCTACCCCTTCACTCTGCCTCTTTCTCACAGCATACAAGTGGGCTGTTATGGCACACGGGGATGGGGGCAGCTCGCGCTCAACTTCATCAACGTGGCGAGCCTTGTACGTGAGAGGCACGGTGAAAGGGGAGTCAAAAGACGAATGATGTAATGACCCGCAACAATACAGACTGAGAACACTGCTGATTTCTGAAGTTTTGTCGATGGAAGGGATGCCTTGCTGAGATTCCCGCATTCTTCTGTGTTTTGTAAGTCTGTATGTGTGCGTGTCTGTTGACTTGCGTGCCTGTCTGAGTGCTTGTCGGCACGAGTGTGTGTGTGACCCGCAAGGGTACTTGCTTGTTTGGCAGGCCCGTAGGGCCGGTACTTACCCGTGGCCGTGGCATTGAGGGTTGCAGCAGGGGAAAGCACTCAAGTGGCGGAGCCAGAGGCTGCGGCACTTGAGTAGGCCGGTACCGCACCCAGTAGCAGGTAGGCCGGTACCGCACCCAGAGCAGCGGAAAAACACTCAAGTAGCACGTAGGCCGGTACCGCACCCAGTAGCAATAGATGTGCCGGGAACTCGAGGCCGACCAGAAGAAGAAAGTTGGCATTTTTAGAGGCCCAGTAGCGGTAGGCTAGGTCTAGGCTGGTACCAGTCCATCCAGCCTGAGTCTAGAGCCTGTATGGGCAATATCAAAGTCTGCAATGATGTTTCCCTCCGAAAGGGAGGAGGTACCGGTTGCTTGGGAGGCCGAGCGGCCTGGAAGTCACCGCCCAGGAGTTGCGGATGCTTTGTCTTGCCACCCAGAGTACATGACTTGCCTTGTGGGTTCCTATGATCTCCGTAAAAATTTCAAGGAGGAACTCATTGAGCATACTGCCAAGGATCCGGAACTCAGCCCCATCCTTGAGCAGATTCGGGCTGACCCTAGCAGTCAGCCTGATTTCCATGAATGTAAGGGCCTTCTCTTCCGACGTTACGGGAAGCATGACCGATTGTGTGTGCCCAACCATGAGCCGATCATGACTCATTTCTTGGATTTGGCTCATGGTCGGAGTGGACACTTCGGTGTTGAGAAGACGTACGGGAATCTGTTGGAAAAGTTTGTGTGGCCTGGAATGAAAAGAATGGCACAAAGGTTTGTGGCGGCTGAGTGTGAAGTTTGTCAACGTACCAAACCGTCTCGACAGAAGCCCTATGGGCTGCTGCACCCTCTTCCTATCCCTGATGGTCCGGGTGAGTCTGTTTCCATTGACTTCACGGACATGGGGAAGAAGTGCAGAAACGGCTATTCACAAGTAACGGTGATCGTCGATCGTTTTTCCAAATTTTTGAATTTGATCCCATTACCGCCTCACACCCCAACTGACCTTGTGATCGAAGAATTTAACAAAAGGTACATTCTGCAGTGCGGTCCCCCGAAGACTCTTGTGAGTGATCGGGATACCAGGTTCATAACTGCAGATTGGAAAGACTTCACCTCCCAGACCTATGACATGAAACTCAAGATGACGTCTGGCCGACACCCCAAAGCCAATGGACTGGCCGAGGAGATCAACCAGACCGTAATCCAACTTCTCAGGGCTCTTATCGTGCCTGACCAGAACTCTTGGGATGAGGAGTTGCCGATTGTGCAGGGGTTGTACAACAACTCCATCCACTCTTCCACCGGGATGACGCCTAACCGACTGCATCTTGGATGGAAAATCCGAAATCCTCTATCTTATCTGTTCCTGGAACAGCCACCTGGCCTAACACCTGGCCAGCCAGGCTACAGCGCTAAGTACGATCGTTTGCTCAAAGTTGTTGTCGCAGCTATGGAAAGGCGACGCAGTGCCATGATTAAGCATGCAAACAAAAAGCGCCAGCCTGATCCTTTCACAGTGCGAAGTTATGTCTGGGTCAAGATGTCTGAGTTTTCTGAAGAAGAAGGCGTATCACGGAAGCTTCTTCCTCAGTACTACGGTCCCTGGAAGGTGCTGAATCGAGTAGGTAATGATTCCTTCGGTCCTTCTTACACGATTGATGTGCCTGCTCATCTGCGCACATACCCAGTCTTTCACGCATCAAAGCTATTTCCATATGAGCCACCTGAGACGTTCAAGTACCGAGAATCGATGATTCCCCGCGCAATCAATGGTGGTCACGAGGTTGATAGAATCGTCGAGCACAGTGGAAAAGGGAGAAACAGACAGTATAAAGTGCATTTTCTGTACAACCCACTGAATGACTTCTACTGGATTGCTAAGAAAGACCTACTGCAGAGTGCACCTCGCGTCGTTAACGCCTATGAACGATTGATCAGTTCTAAACAGCAACCAAAATTCACTGCTACCTTGACTCCTACGGAACACAACCGATCTCTCTTTGCTATCTACGACTATGATGCATTATGCAAGGACTCTGATTGAGTTACTCGCTCGAAGGGACCTCGCTCTTGAGGGGGGGGGTAGTGTAATGACCCGTCAAAACACAGACTGAGAACACTGCTGATTTCTGAAGTTCTGCCGATGGAATGGATGCCTTGCTGAGATTCCCACATTCTGCTGTGTTTTCCAAGTCTGTCTGTGTGTGTGTGCTTGTGACCTGCGTGCCGTCTGAGTGCTTGTCGGAACGAGTGTGTGTGTGACCCGCAAGGGTACTTGCTTGTTTGGCAGGCCCGTAGGGCCGGTACTTACCTGTGGCCGTGGCATTGAGGGTTGTAGCAGGGAAAAACACTCAAGTGGCGAAGCTAGCGGCCCCGCGGCCCTTGGGGTAGCGGAAAAACACTCAAGTCGGCCGGTAGGCCGATACTGCACCCCACTGCAGTTGGCGTGAGGGGGTACTAGAGGCCGAGCAGAAAAAGACAAAGTTGGCATTTTTAAAGTCCAGTAGCGGTAGGGTAGGTCTAGSCCGGTACCAGTCCAACCAGTCTGAGTCTAGAGCCTGTACGGGTAATATCAGGGTCTGCAATGATGTTTCCCTCCGAAACGGAGGAGGTACCGGTTGATTGGAGAGGCCGAGCGGCCTGGAAGTCACCGCCCAGGAGGCAAGTAGGCCGCTATATCAAGAGGCAGGGCGGAGAGCCCAGCCTCATTCTTCAGTGTGCAAGTTTGGCGACACGCTGCTGGAGCGCTGGCTGGAGTAGCGCTGGGCACTACAGCGCTGCTGGGAAGAAGAAGCCGGGAGCTTCCACCTCGGCTATGGTGGAGCTCAGCCGGTAGGAGGAGGAGGGAGAAGGGGACCAAGGACGAGAGTGGTAGGGTACTTACCTGGCTATGGTAGACACCATCTTCATCTCCTTGCTAGGCGCTGCATCAAGAAGGCCCCAGTGGGGGTAGTGCCGCATCAAGGAAGCTCGGGACAGAGTCAGGCATGGTGGTTGAGTGGGCAGCGGCATAGCTGCATGGTGATGACCTTGGATTAGGGCAGCGGCATAGCTGCTTTGTGTTGTCCTTTGGACAGGAGGCTGAAGCCTCCGTAATCCACCATAGCCTCGGCCTGTATGTAGAGGAAGGAGAAGGGTGGCCATGGCTATGGTGGACCTCATGTTGTGCCTGCAGTAGAAGTGGGATTCGGACATGGATTCTGGTTCAGTCATTCAACATTATTATTGTTATTTCTTGTTTGAATAAGAGGGAGGAGATAAGGAGGAAGGGATTGGTTGGCGAAGAAGAAGAGCCTTGACATTGGTCTATGCTGGAGTACATCATCATCTTCTTCTTTCTCACTTCTTCTTCTTCTTCTTTCCCTCTCTTTCCTCTCAAGTGCATTCATTTCTTTTTGCAATTGGATGGCATTGTACTTTCAGATGAATGTATACTTCGAAATTGGCCAGGATCGTAACACTTAAAAAAAAAAGGCCAAATGATAGTAGGGGCTGGATGCTGGGCCTTGGGAGGTGCCTGTCGTCGTACTCGGCTTGTGACAGCCCCAAGGACAGTCTCGTCCAGGGGGGACCATTCGTCGACTTTTTTATTGTCCTAATCAGATCGCAAGTCGAGCCCTACAATGGTGCGACCCAAACCTGGCTCTATACCTAGACCTACACCAACCCGTGCCTTCCGAGGGTCTCAGACAAGTCCCCGCGGGCACTACCATAGGGACACACCAAATTCTCGAGGATGACCCGGAAACAGGAGGGGTCACAGATATGTGGGCATTCCCCACCTGTATCACATCTAGCAGGATCTATGGGTGTCTACCACCCTACTACTATCAATGAGACAACCCACCCTCCCCTGCCTAAGATGAGACCCCTACCCAGAGACCCGTCCTCAGATTCACGCCCCAATCAACCCGCCCAATCAGAACGCAGACAGGTACCAACCCGGATGAAGCCCAGCCCGCAAGCATTGTCAGATAGACATGAGGCCCGCCCTTGGGAATCGTATATGTGTAACACCCAACCCCTACCACTACTCAAGGGGCGTGTAGAGAGCGGAGCCAGATTGGGACCAGAATCGTACAATGTAAGTATGGACTCTCGCTGGTGTACCATGAGGTTGGGAAACAACCATGGTACCCAGCCACACCCATGACACACCAACTGTTACATGCTGGGCTTGCACACGGGCCCCATTTTGGGGGACCGACGGTTGCTGGGGCCCCCCAGGCCGCACGCCCTTCGGACGCGCGCCCTGGAGAGCCATGGCTGGCCCTTAGGCCGCAGGATTCGATTCGAGACAGCATTTATTTATTTATTTATTTATTTGCTGTCCTATTTTTGTCTGTTCAGGCGTCGTGTCTGACCTGCAGTCCCCAAGGCCGCGCCTTGGCCAGGTGCAGGGTCTGGACGTCCGGTCGGGACCCAGACCAAGTACGCCCACGTTTTTGGGCGTAGGACCAGAGGCACACAGAGGCAGACCGCCCGGCCCAGCGCTACATATAGCTGGGCCAAGGCCAGCGCAGCACACAGTTCGAGTAGCTCACTTCTTGGGCAACAAGCTGCTGGAGCAGCACGGCACCGATGATGTGTTAGAAGGTAGAGGCGTAGGTAGGAGGTGAGGAGGAGGCCATACCTGCATCGGCAGTACTTACCTGGGCACCATAGCCGTGCTCCACGTTGGCGACCTGCACAGGGACCATGACGGCTGTTAGTACATGGTGGCAGTTACCTGCAGGTGAGACAGCGAGGAGGACGACATCTTCTTCTTCTTCGTCGTCTCGCCCTCCATCTCTTCTCCTCCTTCCTCCTTCTTCATCTTGTTGTTGTTGTTGTTCTTCTTCTTCTTCTTATTATTATTATTATTATTATTATTATTATTATTATTCATTCGGAGAGAGAGAGAGAGAGAGGTTACACGCAGAGGTTACATCGGGCATGAAGCCCAGGATCTGATTCGACATTTTTGTGGCAGACATTGATTGGGCATTCGGCAGTGTGCAATCAGACTCTACTTTGGACTTGCTTTCAACATGCACACTTGAGAACCGATGGCAAAATCAAACTCTTCCAACTCAGAAACAACAATAAACTTGTATTAAACTCAATCTGAATCAGCTGTACAACTTGCGGCTATGGCTGCCGAACACCGTCTCTACCACCAGCCTCACTCCCACACTCTCGCATGCACGCACGTACAAGGATCACCCTGAATGTCCACGCTGCACAGCCACTCACACTCTGTACACTCTGTCTACACCAACAGCTGGGCAGCTTTGGCCGCTGTCGTCTTCCTCCTTCAACCTATGGCCGCCGGTGTCTCCCTCGCTGGTTCGCTATGGCCGCTGTCTTCTTCACAGCTTACTTCCTGTCCGGGCACCTGCAGACCTCCACACACAAGATACCAAGGCAGCTCTTCCGCATGGCTCACAGGCGAATGAATGAATGGCTGGACGCTGCCTCTTTATTTATACTTCTTTGGCGGTACCCGGGCCTGCCTCAAAACGTGTGGGCCTGGGCCAAAACGTGTGGCCCAAGGAAGTTTCCAGACGGTTGGCCTTCTGGGCCAAAACTTGTGAAACCCACAGTGTGCTCCAGAACTTCCCCACGTGCAGCCCCGACCCCTGGTACTTGCTGACTGGACTGGCCTACAGGGACCTACGAACTTCTACAGCCTACAGACTTACAGACAGACTCTAGGCCTCAGTAGACTCAGATAGAGATTTCTAGAACAGGCCTTCCTAAGCCTAACGGTAACAGACCTAACTCCTAATCTACAGACCTAGGGATCAAGTCCTACTGTCCGACCTACAGACTAGCCTAGGACGTAGGGCAGGTCTAGGGCTCGAATCTCACTCAGCCCACAGGTTCAATGTACAGAGTTAGGGCACACGTCTGGGGATCGAATCTCGGTTTCTGCAAAGTCGGGTCAATGGAGTGAAACCATTTCAAGTGAGACTATTTTTCAACTTCGCTATCGCGATCTTGGTCTTCTTCCTCACCTCCATCTTCGTCTCGCCTCTTCCCCCCATCTCTCATCCGTGGTATCTCCCTCATGTGCGTGTGCAAGGAGGGAGCTTTCTTCCATGTATGCGCTCCCGCCTCCCTCTCTCACATGTGTGGTGTATGATGGGATGTCGCGTCAGTATCGGACAGGTGAGTCTTCTGCTGCGCTACATTGTGCTATTTTCATATGTATCTGGATGTACACTGCTTGTTGATGCTTTGCTGACAATGCATTGTCCATACGAGTCCTTTTCATCACTATGCGGATCCTTGGCTCCGTATACATTGCTCGACTGCGCATGTATCACCAACAGAGCAGTGCATACGAACGACACGGTGCACACAGACAGGCCCAGAATCTCTGCACAAATTCCTTCCTAACCTAGCCTAGGCAGAGGAGCTCTACTCAACCTAACTCCTCTACCTCGCCCATGATGAGTATACGAGACATGACTGAGAGATCATCGGACTACACACCACACGCAACCCACACACCCACACACACATGCAGACTCGTCGGACCACCCCAAGGGCAACCACTCAAACAGCCCTCCCCCCAAGGCCTGCTACCAGCATACTACGACCATGGACTGACCCCTTGGGTGGTGCGCAGGGAGTGTCCGTAATAGTAACATGCGTCAGCCCAAGGGGAGTGTGCGAATGGCAGTACGTCGGTCGAAGCCCACTGGTGGCCTATGCGCAAGAGTGCAGGCTCAAAGATTTGAACCTGCGCCCTAATACCACAATGCTCATTTCCAACCAGTACTGAACTTGTGCTGGGAGGGCTTTCTGGGCCCTTCGTGTTTGCCAATGGCTGGGAGCAGTGAGGTCAGTGAAAAGCTGCTGCCGCAGGGAGTCTTTGCAGAGTAAGAGGTGGGCTTCCCCCCCTTTGGCCCCTTTACCAAGGGGAGTGTGGCCCATTCCCTTCTGCTATCGTGGAGCCCTTGTCTTCCGTTTTCATCTTGGGCGGCTTTCGACCTTCTGCTGTCCTCCTTGTGTGCATTCACGGAATCCCTTGCTTCTTTGCAGTTGCCAATGTTGGGTCGGGGTAGTCACATCTTCTGTAGTGCTGCTGTTGTTTGTCTGACCTGCTTGGGTTGTTGATTT